ATAGAATTTTTACGAGGTAAAATTGTAATGTATTACTTGCTGTTAGTAACTCAGCTTATTATAGAGTATAGTAAGTATACTGATGGTGCGATGCAGTTTATACTTTAGTTTTTTATGTAGTTTATACTTTAGTTTTCTACGTGGTTGTTGAGTAACTGCAGCTACATATCATTAACATTCCTTTCCTTTGTTACTGCTAATCCCTGCACCCCCCTTGGTTGCTGCTGATCCTGCATAATGCATGGGCATAATATGACTTTGACACCCCCCCGCCCAACGCCTACGCATTTTCCATGAATATGCTAAATCCCTCTTCACATGCACATTCTTTTTGTTAAGGCGCTCTTCAACCCCCAATGCAGCTTATATATATGCTCCTAGTTTGGTAGTGTCTCATTCTTCACCTGAAGACGGCTGCTTGCGTTGTAGCCGAAACGTCGTGAGAATTGTTTTATTATGTTTTATTTTTATTATTTTATTACTTCCCTTCTACGTGACTTTACCGAAAGAAACAAGAAGATGACTGATTACTGTCACATTTATGAAGAATGTATAATGCTCACACAAGACGGACTGCACACATCAGTGTCCCCATGTTTGAGCGGAAGGACAGTAACCACGAGCATGATTGTACCAGGTAAAGGTGCAGCCCTGCAATTGCTTGCTCAAACAACCGATGGCAGAAGGGCCTCCAGTAGAGGGGGAACTCGAGGAAGTCACTGTTGGAGAATATTTGGCCTACTCTTCCAGGCTGGCCAAATTGTTTTGCTAAAGGTGGGAGTACCCACACTTTACCCCACCACACATGATTTTGCTGATCGACTTCACTGTGGTGAACCCATTTATACTGCTGGTTGGACAGAGGTGGTGGGAGGGGGTATCCAAGAAACTTGCCCATTGTCTTCAATGCCATGTTGAAGGATCAAACTGATCATCTCCGGATAGCAAGTCCGGTGTGCTAACCATTACACCAGGAAAGCGTGATTGTAAAACAATATATTTACAAAGGTGGTTTATCGCTTAAAAGCAAGTACAGAGTGATACTAATCTCATGTTAACAGTCAGATGCCAGTGATGGAAATCAGACGTCCATACACCAAACAATGTTGATTACCCTCACACTGCAACACATGTTACCACACCTGGAGAGAGAAAAAAAATGCCGAATCAACCATTGGCTGAACTCAAACGTGCATCATCCTTCCATTTGTGAACTGCAGGATCTAACCACAGTGCCCCACGGGTAGATATTCTAAACCGAGGAAGCCACCCTATTTTGAAGTCTAAATATGCCCAATCTTGATTTGAGGCTTTCGTGACTGCAGGAATCCATACTCTTTGATTCTTTCGGTAAAGTCACGTAGGTATAAAACGAAATAAATCAAGACGTTTCGGGCGCAACACAAGCGTCCGTGATCAGGTGGGAAAGCATGGTCTGCTGCAGTGGCAGACTGTTTTAAAATGTTTGAAATGGGTGTAGCTCAAGGGTTATAAATAAGTGGCCGGGGCTAGTGATGTTATTGTGAGAGATTAGCATGTAACTGTAAGATAGAAGAGCGACCTCCTAAACGAGGGCACGGAAGTGGCTGTGTTAATGTGAGGGATTAGCATGATGTTAATGTGGAAAAGCTCTAACAGATGCGTGAAAACCCTCCCCAATGTTTTTCACCTCCTATCCTTAATGACATTGCAACGCTAGGAACGTGCCACGTTAGTTCATCCATGTGCCGCCTGCCGCGCGTGACGTGAACGCAAATGCTTCGTCCGCAATTGCTCACCCTTAGGTCTCACCCCAGCAATAGGCCAAGTGGACAGGGAAAAGTGTGCAAGAAAAATGTAGCGCAATGTCATTCTCGTCACCTGCACTGCCAAGTTTCTAGGATCTTTGTGTGCTTGTCACTGCTGAACACCACCATTCCCTATTGTCAATCTAAATTCTGCTTACTTATTATTAATTTTTTTAACATCAAGTTCAAAGTGTCAAATAAGCACTGGAGAAGTGACACTCTCCACCAGTAAACCTGAGCCAGCAGTTGCTCTTGCCATGGTGGCGAGATGTTAACTCTCTTGCCTGGGATACAAAAGATCGTGGGTTCAATCGCAACCCTGACGCCTGTATATTTGGAGTTTGCATGTTCTCCCTGTGGTCGCGTGGATTGTTCTCCGTGTTCTCCGATTTTCCCCTCCACATTTAGAAACATGCATTTAGAGTATTTGGCTGCTATAAATGTCCGCATGATAAGCCACTTGTTTGAGTTATCAGTTGTAGTCAGGTCGCTTATAAAACGAAGCTATACAGCTCAGTGGGCCTTACCTGGTAAAATAAAAAATTGTTTAGTTTAGTTTTACCACATCCTGGGACAGGAGGGCAAGCATTTCGATGGGGTAACCACCGTCAACTTCATTTCATTGACACAAAGGCGGAGTGCGGGGCCGAGTTAACCCAGACAGGGGACTGAAATTGTGACCTGATTGCAAGCGAAATACTTTTAAACCACAGAGCGCAATGGCCAAACGGAAAATGTTTCTGCGGCACCCTAATTTTATTCTAATGCTGGAGTACTTTGTGTAAAAGCAATTTACAAGTGAAGTGCCGGGCGTGCCAAGCGGGTGGGGGCTGCTGGTCAATAATCAGCAATTAAGAAATTTCCCATTGTCAGCACAGTTGGGAAGGGCAAGAGAGAGAGGCTGCTTCGCTAAATGTTTGTCCTCATAGAACCCCAAGATTTATCTGTTGATGTCGAACGCCTCCTAATTATCTCTAGAGGTAATTTTAGCCAAGTGGACAACTTGAGTATTTTAAAGGGTGGGCTTGTTAAGTCTCATGGCCAAAACCACTGGAAATAAACGATTTGGCTTCAGAGGGGCCAGTGTCTGATATCTCTTGATTTCTCATAGAGTGAATCCAGCCAGGTGGGATTTTAGTGAGAGCACTTGGCAAGATAACATCCCCAAGGACTATGCAGCCTATCTTTCATCCAGATGAATTCATTAGAGTATCCTGAGAAAAGAACAGTGGTTGTCCTCTGGATAGCTTAGCTTCTGCCACTGGAATGTCGAATTTCAACTACTATTTAAGACCGGGAGCAACAGGAGAGCTTCACCATTCTTGCCCGATGAAGCTGATTGCAATTACCAGCGAAACGTCGTACTCAAATTTTTAAATGCTGTTGATTCTCTCTTCAACACACCGGTGGGCGAAAGAAGTTAATTATTTCGTCCTTTGAAAAACGTGACACATTTTTTACTGTTTGGCCGTGTCGGGTGGTGGAGGGTTACGACACATTTATAAATAACGCGATCTGACCCAAAAACCTATATTATGAATACTATTTAAGCCCCACTAACAGAGAAGAGACACTGAGAGTTTGACCAATAGCAAACCGCTCACTAATCTGTGCCAGTTGAAGAGTACATTCTTCAACTGCTCCTCACCATACTCTCTGCACTGACATCAGCAATAAACAAGTGAGCTATAATTTCTAGACATGTGCTTCAAAATCAATGTGCTAATCTGCAGCCCACTGCTGGGAACTCTGCAAAAGAGGAGCAAGAGACCAATGCACGAGTGAGAAAGGGCAGCCCTTGAGATTCGGGCCTCAGGCTCCAATGTACTCTCAACGATTGACACGTGCATCTCTTTTTAATTGAAGCCCTTGAACCTTCACGCGCTCATGCACCAGGGCAGCGAAATAATAAATTACGGATCGCTATAAATGTACCTCTGGCACGGCCCCTCATCAGTCACATCTTACGGCCAGTAACCTCCTGCCCTCTGGTCATAATATACAATTATGGGAGACAGCACCAGTCTCTAGACGTCCTGTTGCACAACCTATCTATATATGGTGAACTTATTTCACACAGTACGTAGCCAACCGTACTAATGGGAGGTGTGGGGGGGAAGGACAACCAACTAGAGTGGGCATCGTATCATAGTCCATTCTCCAAAACAACTGCCACACACCGATTGCAATTCCAGTTGTTAACTAGCAAACGCAATTGATCATGGTGGAGACACCTGACCACAAAGTTGTTAAGATCGTGGAACCACATTTGTTGTGGGTTTTTTTAATCTCTCTTGAGTAAGGTTATAAAACAGTCTGGCTCAGCAGCAGACCATGCTTTCCCACCTGATGACGGACGCTTGTGTTTCGTCCGAAACGTCGTGATTTGTTTTATTTTATGCCTACGTGACTTTACCGAAAGAACCAAAGAGTTTGTAGATAAGTGTTTAGGGTTGTCTTGCCAGAATGATTGAATCATAGGTCATTTACTTGGAATAGAAGATTAGCACGTGGGTGCAAGGTAAACTGCATTTTCAGAATATCAAAGTTTTTTTTGCCAATTGCGTGACTGGCAGAAATTATAGTGAACATCTATATTTCATCTTCATAACTGCTTCCCAGATGGAAATTCACTGGCAAGGAATGGTCCTGTAATTAGGCTCTGCAGGATATCCCCAAATGCAATGCGCTTCCCTTAACGATTGCACTCTATACAAAACGCTCTTAAAATGTGGAGGCAATAGTACTGGACATTGTCTAATGCCTTCTTTTAGTCTCAAGGATGGATACAGCCAAATCCAAGAAAAATAACATAACGACTGCCTGATGCCTTAAGCCAAAAACTCAGAATCTCAAAGTTAGTGGCCACTAAAACAAGGCTAGAATTAGACAGTCCTCCCTTGTTGTAGAATGTATTTACAAACAATTTATTTGTTTTCCACATTTAACGTTATAACAGTGTCACACGCAGTGTGTGTCATTGTAAAATTATGTTTGTTTGCATTGGTGGTGAAGATATTACACTTTAATGAGTACAAGCTGTAACAATTATGACGACTACAGTTAACTATATTTTCAACGCTTGCATTCTTCAACGCAAATCTTTTTAAACACGTCCCAAAACACGTCTCATTTGCTCCTCGCGATGTACCAAAGGGTCCAGTTAACTTGGCGGAGATGCATTTTCCATGTTGCGTATTTCGCACTGCTCACCTTGAGGTGGGATAGACAGTTGTTGAGAAAGATGTGCCAGTTGTTAAGAAAAAACTGCTTCTGACTGACGCAGAGTAGACACGTGGTCAACGGGAAGAGTGCCTGCGAACAACATTCCAAGGTGGTGATTTTCCATCTCAAACCGTCATGAAATAACAAAGTAAATCATCATAATAATTTTTTAGCCAATAAATTCTCCACGAATGTCGAAAATATTTCAGACTAGGATTCTGCATAAGCATGTTTGGTTAATTCCAATTTAAAATAAGTTTTGCGATTAATACTAATGCAGCAAAAAATGTTAATTTCTAAATCTCAACTCATTGATGTCTCACTTTAATGCACTGCAACGACCATACATTTTACATAATGCAATGCACCATGGCATCAATAGCCCCTTCATTTGAAAAAGGCAGATATAATGTAACCATTTTGACAAAAACCATGAAAGTGAAATGAGATGAAAATTATTTATTTTAAAACTTTTGTGAATTAAAATCGGGAACTTATTTTCCTGTAATCATGGATACTGTAATTATGTTATTGGGAATGGTACAGAGCAGAAGCACTGTGGTTTTCAAGCCACAAACAAGATAGGACTTTGACATAAAAAAAATTTTAACATTAATTTTCACACAATCTTATTCCGATTGTGCTATCAGAATCAAGTCATGAGATGCAGTATCCATTCGTACCTCTCGTAGACCATTGCATATCCCTTCGTGTTAGAGAATTGCTCACGGAAATGGATATCGCAGAGCTACTGCTGAAATACATGCAAGTGACCCTCTGGTCCACACAGAAGGGGAGGTTTGGGGGCTACTTTAAAGGCAGACTGTGAGGTCGAGTGTCTAACCCACAATGATTGCAAAATCTGGCAAAAGGTAAGAAGCAATGGCACTGCTTTGAAGAACCGAAGGCATTGACCACGATGACTTCTTTATTGAAGAGAGCAGTGGGAATGCATGATAAGATGACTGCAGAGATAACTGGAGAAGCATGCAAAGAAAAACTACCATGAAACTAAACACATTGATTTTTTCCTAGGTAATGCCAACTAAGCTACATAGCTATTTTTAAATCCTTTATATTAAGTTCGCTTGCTTGCGTGCTTGCTTGCTTACGACCGTGCAAATCTTTCTGTCGTTTTTTAACACACTTCCCGTGATCCAATCGAGCTGACATTTTCCACACAGACTCGTTGTGCGTGACAATGTATTTTCGTGAAAATTTTGTAACAAAATGTTACACTTTTTAGGAAAAAATAAATAATATTTAATTACCAATTGCTTAATGGTGGCAGCCATTCATCTGACCCATAGGTGGCAGCCATCTCAAGCCAGAGGACGAGAGGACTCTAGCCGCCACGCATATAAAGGATTTATAGTGAAAAACTTTGTTTTTACTGGTTATACTTATTCACAAGCGACCTTCGCCACAAACGATAGCTCAAGGAAGTGGCTTATCACGTAGACATTTATAGTAGCCAAAAACTCTAAACGCATGTTGATTCTAAGTGTGGAGGAAAAAACTGGAGGACCCTGATAAAAATCCATGTGACCACGGGGAGAGAAATAGCGAGAGAGAGAGAGAGAGAGACGCAAACTCCAAATATAACAGCATGCGTCAGGGTCGGGATCGAACCCATGCCTCCTGTATACCAGGCAAGGTAGTTAACATCTCCGAGCCACCGTGGCGCCCGAAGAGATGCACGCCTCACCAGGGAGTGTTTTCTGCGAGATGACAACTCAAAGGTGGTCTGGTAGAGTAGTTCCACAAAGGTGCGCAGGCACGGGACGTTCACTTCATTTTTAACCGTCTGGAAACAAAAAAAAACACACGAAACAAAACGCAACATTAATTATATACGGCACCCAAACACAGCTCTGTAATGGAACATGCGGGTAACTGGCCGTTCCGTTTATGGATACCCCCCCCGACTAAAATAATGGGGAGATATTGGAGAAAGCAACATTGGAATTCAAAGCCTCTATATGTCTCCAATCAGTCTCAAAACATGAACTAAGTGGCTTAACTCTCTGCTGATACACTTTGCACAACATAGCCAGCGTGATTTGCCCCAATGATGTGCAAGCGGAGGTCAGTGACATCTAAGAGGGTTGTTGGAAATCCGTTGGATATCTATCAATGGATTACCATGTACATTCGTATCGTTGAGGCTGACGAAGTCGAGGGAGATGCCAATGTATAGCAGCTGATGCATCAGCAAATCTGGCTGTGACGGTCCCACCTGATGACGGAGACTTGTGTTGCCTCCGAAACGTCGTGATTTTTTATTTTTTATTGTTTTATTTTTATTAATTTTAATTTCATTTTTACCTACGTGACTTTACCGAAAGAACAAAGAGTATGAATCCTTGCAGTCATGAAAGCTTTAAATCTCGAATATAGCAGAGGTATTCTCCACTCTCGGTGACTGGGCAATTAGAATCTCATGGATCCCCCGTGAAGGCAAACGGCGAGCTACATAGCATCCCACTGGGTGGAACAGTCATCGGAGCAGCGCTCAACCCGGCCTATCATCCTTCCAGGGTTTACAAAATGAGTACCACTTGCAGGAATTCACCAGTGGCCACCCTATGAATCAGTGTTCTTCATTGCAATGCCCCTGATGTGCAGCCCCTGGCAATACACAAATGTGAAAACACCCCATCATGCTGTCCAACCCCAATGGTTTCAAATGTGTGGCGGCCCTCACACTAAAGTCGTACTAGCGAAAGTGGCCCACCTCTGAAAATGAGTGTTGAACACTGCGACAAATATACTGGTCCCTGCCACAGGACTGTGGAAATTCCATGAATACCTAGGGCTGCCATTGGAAGTGCCGTCTTGATATATATTTGCATGCAGAAATACATTGACCCTTGGCTTATTGTTAAGTGTTAAATGTGGATATGACAAAATACATTTCTGAATACACAACGAGCAGTAAAATAGGTAGAAAAGCAATAAAAATGTGGCTTGTTTTTTAGATTCGTAGCTTAAATATTTAAAGAAAAGCTTTAATATGAGAAATAAAAAATATATATTGTATGTTACTATAAACTTCGCATTAGAAAAGGTGATGGCAAATATAAGCAGTAACATTAACATAACAAAATATCGCAATATTTAATTAAAATTAGGTTATTGCTCCATACCCTTGCGATAATGAATTGTGTGCCAGCTTGGCCCCTTATTGCGATAAATGTGCACACTTTAATTTAATTCCTTCCAGGCTATTCTCATCCCACTGTAATCTTCCCTTCACCTCCCTTCAGTACATGGACGCCACTATTTCTGTGCTCCCCCTAGAGCTACATGAAAGCCATTACTGGTAAGGCATGCTCTACTGCACATTTATAGCATTTTTAAATTCAGCACCTTCGACTAAATCCTAGTGCTTTTATATCTCACAAAACGCCACAAAATTGTCAAGCCACACTGATTAATTTCTGAGCTATCAGCAACTACAGAAAGAATCTAAATTAGTGTTAAAGTGTTCGTGGTCATATGCATAGCCTATATCAACAGATCTCCAAATTGCTGTGATGATGACTTGCTATTTAGCATACTGAATTGAACTCATTGTAATGCAAGAGTTTCCAACCGGCTGGGTGGTGCCTTGCAAATGGCAGGTTGACAGTGGAAATCCCAGGGCTAGGCTTTGACTCATCCATCTATTCCCCTAGGGTGTATAAAATAAGTACAATTTTGCAGGAAGTCAATAGAGGTGGTACATTTCCATAATTCGACCCTTTCACAGGAATGTGCCATTTATACCACTGACTTAGGGCCATGATGGAGATCAACACTGCCTCATGTTCTTTTGACCAGGGATATAATCCAATTTGAAAGTATGCTTAATACCTTCCTTTGCTTTATATATATATGATTACCCCAGGCAATTCTGTAGCCTACAGATTACAGAAATAAATATAATGTTCAACTGCAGATCAGCACAAATGCACACGAAGTGACAGCTGAGAATAAAATCATTGTTATTTTAATCAAAAGGTTCAGCTGGGATATAGTTGAGGTAGCAGAGCAGCAGGCTTCCAGTCAAGAGGACCTGAATTCAAATCCTGACTCAGGTCATCCAACCTCAGCCCCATCATCATCAGTGTCTACACGGTCAGTAAAACGTATTTAGTAACACACCAAGGTGTGCTCACAACACTTAGTCTTGAAAAGTAATACAATCTTGATTTGAAGCTTTTGTGACTGCAGGAATCTATACTCTTTGGTTCTTTCGGTAAAGTCACGTAGAAGGGAAATAATAAAATAATACAAAATATAGTTTTATTTCTTTTATTTTATTATTTCCCTTCTACGTGACTTTACCGAAAGAACCAAGAAAAATGAAAACAATTTCAAGCTATTGGATTATAATATCTGATAAGAGTAATACGTGATGAGTAACTGGTTACTCCCCAATATATGGCATAGAAATGTGGAATTTCCATGCAACACTGGCTCAGGACGTATTCACACACCATTTTAAGCTCCGTGAGAACAGCAACATTTTTGAACCGGAAGACACCAACATCATTTTCCCATGTGCAGGAACACAACACAGGGGGGGACGTGGTGACATCTGTGTCTCTTAACACAGCCAGGCAAACCAGAAATAGCTTAATTTATCAGCCCAATGTAATGGCAAGTCCTAGGTCCCTATGCGTAACCATGCGGTTCACAGCAAGGTCCACAGATTGGCAAGAAGAATGATAGGGAATGGTTGTGAACGAGACACCGGAACATTCATCAACAGTGAAAGTACCACTGCAATTCACAGCTGTGCAGATGATGGAAAATGGCTAAAATGCAATGAGCCGAATTCTATTCGTTTCTGTCAAATATGCAGCCATTGGAAAGATAGTTCGGTTTGATAGTCTTGTTTGACCCAAAAACTCATTAATGCAAAAGACACTGAACCATTTGTTACGTGCTCTGTTACTGAATTAGAATTTTAAAAAGTATGACATTGCATGCAATGAGTGAGACTATATTTAAATAATGTGCGATCAACAACATTTTTGTTATTAAAAATAAGTATACTGTACGTTACAGTATTATTTCCAATAAATGTAGTTTTATGCCATGTTGCATCACGTGGTTTCTTGTTTTACCATTAAACATCGGCTTGCAGACACGTACGTGCAATTGAGCGTTTGTAATGTGACTTACTGCTGCAACGGGAATTAGAATTTCCACAAAGAGGCCAGCCAGGGCGTGCTTGATGTCCTTATCCTTGACTTCCAGGAAGTATTTGGCACACTCCTGCATATACAAAGACAAAAACACCCCCCATAGAGCCTTAACAGACAGTTGGGGCAAGCGCTGTTAGTGAGCACCAATAAAAGCTGGCACGGCACACGAGGGGGTGGTTGGCCAGCACCACACCCGTCCGCCTTTGTCTCCCTAAGTGGCAATGTTTCCACACAGCACCAGGTACTCATTTGAGGCCGAGTCGACCTAGGCCCAGGATCGGTTCAGATAATTGTCACTGGTGTTGACCGTGAGCGGGAATCGAACTCGGGTGGCTGGGTTCGTAGCGCGGCGCGCTAACCAACCACTACACTCCTGTGCTTGATGTCCTTATCCTTGACTTCCAGGAAGTATTTGGCACAATTCTGCATATACACATGTATACACACGGATAAACATCCCCTGTTTAAGCAATGTGAGGCAAGTGCTATTAGCCAGCACCAATTAAGGTCAGCAGGACAAACAAGGGGGTGGGGTGGCAGAAACACACATTCCTGGATCATTTTGTCTGCACAGTACACGGATGCTGAACGCACAGCGCACCAGGTGCTCATTTAAGCCAAATCAATCTAGGGCAGGGCCAGGTAAGCCTAACGGACCAAATCCCACAAGAAAGCACGTTCAGAAATTGACATCGAATTGCCAAGTATCACAGTGCGCTGTGGTAATGAATGTGCCTCCATTATCCACACAATCTCATACAAACACTCCACACACGCACATATTAACATTTAACCATGGGAATTTGGGAGGCAAAAGCTCAAACACATCTATGTGTGAACAAGGCCGCACACATTATTCACGGGGACACAAGTTGGCCTGGCTGAGCATTATTATCGCACAGAGCCAAAGCGGACAGGGTCCATCGTTGTTCGAATGTGCTGTGTGTATGAGGAGGCAAGAGCCTTCTCCTCACCCCCATGAATTGAAAGGAGTCTTCAAACTCTTCCACCGGGTACATCTTGACCCTGAAGAACTTTAGGCCAACGATCAGGCTGATGATGCTCTGAACGACCAGGGGACTCTGCTCTTTCTGCCGCAGCTCCTTCAGCTCCGTCATGAACTTCTTCCTCACCGCCTGGAACCTGGCCAGATTTAGGGAACACGTGGCAGAGGGGGGTACCATGAGCTCATCATTGAACCCTGAAGCTACGAATGTTGCTCTCGAGCGAGCCAACTGAACTCGGTTCGTGTAAGCGGCTGTTACATTCTGCCGGAGTCACCACCACAACTTGTACCACCAGCTACATAAACTGGACTTTAAATTTTGATTTAAAACTTTCGTGACTGCAGGGATTCATCTTCTTGGTTCTTTCGGTAAAGTCACGTAGAAGGGAAGTAATAAAATAAAAATAAAACATAATAAAATTATTCTCACGACGTTTCGGCCACAACGCAAGCAGCCGTCCTCAGGTGAAAACCAGGTCCGTCGAGGCGAAACGTCGTGAGAATAATTTTATTATGTTTTATTTTTATTTTATTACTTCCCTTCTACGTGACTTTACCGAAAGAACCAAGAAGATGAAACTGGACTTTAACAACCCCTTTTTCATAGGACAACCGAGCCGTACTGTATCCGTGCCAAGCCAGGCCAGCTTGGCTCAGGAAGCACGAGGTTGTTTTAAAAGCAGAGTCGTACCGATGGCCTCACACGCAATGGACACGTCGAGACGCACGTAGTTCAATGAACTGACGTCACACGCAATGGATGTATTATCACCGCCGCTTGGCCCCAAGCAAGGTTCAGATGTTTTTGGAGGTCCAGCGTGGCATTGTTTGGTTCTGGCTCAACTTTGAAAAAAGCCAGTGGAAAACCACCCATTACTGTAAGGGGTCCTGCGTCGACTTGCAGCCAGTGATAAAGGAGTCGAACACTCTTTAAGGAGTAAACAATTGTGTGGCAGTGCTATAGCACAAATCCCAAATCACGTGCAAGTTAAAAGTTAGATCTGTCCGGGTGGTATGGTGGCAAGAGTGCTCAACTCACAATGGAAGGCTGGGATTCAAACCTTGGTCAGAGGGTTAACTCAGGCTAGTATCCCACTGGACTCAATTCAAAAGTTCATATTACCGTGAGAAATCAGCAGTGGTTTATCCTATGGAGAGACTGGACTATCACAGGAATGTGACATTTTCTCCCCCGGGGCTCAGAGCTACTGACAGATGTGAGCTAAACCCGAATTTTTGTAAGGCAGGGAGACACTCTGGCTTAATGCTGGCTTTCTGTTGTTGCGTTATGCACACCTTACATATTACAGTATGAGATACTTTGCAACTTTGGAGAATTGCAGTTTGAATGCCAGCGGAGTGTTCTGCAGGTGAGCGAGCGACACTTACTTTGATTGTGCTAGAACGCCAATCACCTCCGCATAGAGGTCTGCGACAATGTGCAAATTCGCAGTGTTCGGTCCATTGTACCTGCAGCGGCAGCGGGGATGTCACCGTCAGTGGACAATTCACCCGAACATAAAAAAAAACAATAAAACGCACCACCACCAGAAGCAAGTTTCTCTAAAATCCTATTCCCACGCGCTTCATTTCGACATTTTAAACACAACCGAAGTGTTTATTCACTGTGATTTCACACCTTTTACGTTGCAGTAATATTATTGTGCAGTTTTTTTTAAAGCTATAATTGAACTTGTGAGGAGTGTCAAGGTATTTTGTTTTACCCTTAGGCTTCACAAGCATTCCATATCCATGGTGGAATGTGCTTAAATCGACTTTGGACCACATAATATGGCCAGCTGCTTGCCAGGAACAATTATCCAAATATGGGCAAAATGTTACGTTATTAGTTGGATGTTAGTTTTACCATGTGTTCCTTACATTAATCAAACACTCTGCCCAACGACTCATATTGAACTAGCTATGCATGTATACTTGAGTTTACCATTATAAAACACTTATGAAAAAAATATTCAGTACAATTATTCCGTACATGACATTTTTAGCCAAGTTAATCATAATTATACTCTAATAATAATAATCCTGTGCATGCATATGCCGCTTGCTTAACAGCCTCCGCACCTCAAAGCTCCTTGCGTCACATCCCATCTCAAACATTCTAAGGGGAGCCCCCATTTCCAGCTGTGCCTGTGCAGTACAAGTTGGCTCAGCACTGACCTGCTGGTGGGAATTAGTCTGCCGGTAAGGGGCGATGATTGCCATGTGTAATCCCAATTGAGTAAGTTGTAGTCCGTATACCTATACTGATATACATCTGATAAGTTGCAGATGCTTTAAGAGAGCCGTCGTTCAAATAGCTACGCTGAACTAATGCGAGGTTCAATTTGAAAACCAATTTTTACGCATTCATCACGCGTGATAATGCAACGACAGTCATGATAAGTTTGCGATGTTGAAAATAAAGTGGAGCTCTTCGTATGGATTTGCCTGTACTATTATTTTCTCATCCTCCATACTTCGTCACACGCATAGTTCAACACAGCGAAACAATAACAACTGCATGTGATTGCCTGGGCGCGGTCTCACATTCGGTGCACTGACTCAACCGATTTAGATCAAGCATAGACTAAAGCTCAAACATTGAGGCAAAACAACATCCTAAGGAGGTGCACGAAGTTCAATATGTAAGCCCCCTTTGCTGACAGACACGCAATGTAACTGGTTGCAAAAATATTATTAATTACGTGGTTACACTTGCTGTCAGGAGAATGTGCATGATGTCGGCAAGACTTACCCTTCTTTGGGTTTAAAGTGCTTAAAAGCTAAGTTAATCACATCTTGCAGCAACGAATCTGGAACAGGGTGGACAGGAATCTGCAAAGTAAACAAAGTGACATTACATTATAAACTGGAAATATTGCCAAATGCTCCAGGCACAGTTTATGCCTCGCCCCATCTGACCTTAAAAGAACGTTTGCCGGCAGCATTCTCAAAGTAATTATGAGCCGTGTGCCTATTTTAAATAGGCGATTTGACTTTTAAAACGCAGTGATTTCAAAAGTCCCAAAAGAGGCCGAGGAAATCTGGACAGTAAAGGTAACCGTGAGCGAACCATCATGTTTAAAAAATGGAATGCCTAAAGCTTTTTTGTAAGTGTTATTCGAGTAATCACAATCATCACCACCACCATCAGCCATGATCTATCTACTGCTGAATAAAGTGCCTCTTAAGCCATTCCCATCTCTAACTACTTCATATGTTTAACCTCTTTTGAACTGTACATAGCCAACCTTGCTAATCGGAGGTGCTCCTTATTTCGATTTCCCACTAAAATAAACATCTATCAGTTTCCACCTCCGATTAGCACGGTTCGCTATGTATGGTGCGAAAGAACTTCAACGTACATAAATACATATTGTTAACGCTACCGATAATGTGGTATGGGCAGGTGTCTCTGTAGTTAGAGTGCTTCACATAGCATCGGACGGTTGGGAGTTCAAATGCCAGTGAGGGGTCCCCTCAGGCCAACATTGCTTTGGTGAATGATAAAATAATAAACGAGATTTGAAGTTTTTGTGACAGCAGGGATCCATACTATTTGGTTCTTTCGGAAAAGTCACGTAGGTATAAAATAAATTAAATTAAATCACGACGTTTCGGGCGCAACACAAGCGTCCGTCATCAGGTGGGACAACCACAGCAAGAAACAATTGCTGATTGCTGTGGTTGTCTCACCTGATGATGGACACTTGTGTTGCGCCCGAAACGTTGTGATTTAATTTATTTTAACTTTACCGACAGAACAAAAGAGTAATAGCCAACTCACAGGAAGTCAACAGTGGTCATGAGCACTGCCCCAATCCTAGTTTTAGTGGAGACAGTTTGACTTTACGAGACATGAATGAGTTGTAATCTTTAATTGGTTGGATTAGCTGAAAATTGCATTTTTAAAGCCACTAGGTAATTTTCTACGGGGAATTGCTGAAGTCGTGATGCTAGCTGTAAAAATGTTGAGTGAAGCGCTCTGCTTAATTGCCACCCTTAAATTCCTCTTTACCACATGCAGTCACTAAGTGTTACATCCTCATCGGTGCCTTATTTTCCATAAATTCCCCACATCAAATGTTAAACTTGTACTATTATCAACCTCAATTAGGACAAACTTCGGCAAGGTGAACGTTGACAAATGGATAATGACATTACTGTTGCGCGTCGCTGAGATATTCAACGTCCATACAAAGAAAATCAATAAGGACAATTTATGATGTCGGTCATACATCGTGGAAACTAATTAGCCTCCAAATTTCCCAACACTTCGCCAAAGTGAATTATTTCAGATAAAAATGCTAGATCACAGCATTTCAAATTACCAATGCTCTTCGAGACAAAAACACCCCACCACATTACTCCTCGATGACACTGGCTGGGGAACCATAAACCGCATTAAGAACATCAACAGGCCAATGCACACATCTCCTTCATGAATGGAAATTTAATGACAAGCCACAGTGCAATTGTGACTTGTGTCTCTATGGGTTTACTATAAAGTTCAGAAAGATATATACAGACACATAATGACCACATCGAGATACACAGAGACCCATAGAGATACATTTAAGACCAGCCACAGTCGTGTGACTGTGGCCATGCAACCCAAACTAGGAACCATTAAGTAAACCAGTGTAGTTTTCACTCCTTCAACAGAGAAATATCAAAACTACACAAACTCTCTGTCTCTCCTGAAGCCCTCTCGTGGCTATCAAACCTCGACATTGGCATTAGCTCCTGAACGTAATTCCATACACAAGTGTAGAAATGCTATTCATCATAATCTGGGTTTTCAAACAAAATTATTTAATACAAGGTCCAAAGTATGCAACACAATTCATGTCTTGTCTTCACTGTCTCTGTGGGGTTCTCAAGAAAAATATACTTTTTTATGATGCCCTGCCCCATCAATTGTTTTACGTGTGCATTGTAACACTTCCCCAACTACAGTTGAAAAGCTCCCCTCAATCGGCAGCGGGGGTTCATGATAACGCTCATAAAAAATATCCAATATAAGTAAAATCTTTCACGTAGATTTGTGTTGGTATGGTGGAATAACCCGACAGAAAACAGGCTAAATTTATCAATGGGTTACTCGTTAAGTAGGCAAAAAAAAAACAATCAGCCTTTTCGGCCACGGTGATGACGCCACACGCCAGGCAATAAAATCACGCTTCACGTCATGATGCTTCCTTGTTTACATCAGTCAAGAGAAAACTTTGGACTAGAAGCCGTCTCTCCATGGTACGAAACGACCAAACCACCGTGTGTGCTAAATTACATCATGAATATGTGAATCATTCAGACAATGCATTCTGCATGTATATGTCTATTGGAAGAGATGGAAGAGTGGACCATGGGTTAATAATGGGAACACTCATATATTTTTTATGAAATAACTAGCTTTACTACCCGGCTTCGCCCGAGACTTGGATTCTAGTCTTGGATTAATACAGGGTCTACCGCGGAGGGTGGGGGGGGGGTGGATCCGTGACGTCAGCAGGCACACTGCGTAACGCTGCCGCATGCGGGTGATGTCACAGATGTGACGTCACCGCTCACTTGCCGTGCAAAATATGCATTATTGCGCCCCCCCGCCCCCCAAAATACAAAAGTAAATTTTTATACTTTTTGCATTGTGTAGTCTGGAAGCTACCCACATGCCAAATTTCAAGTTTGTTGCATGTCGGGAAGTATCCTAAGCATTTCGAACAGACACACATTCACAAATTTCCCTTTTATATATATAGAAGTTATATCTTTGCCATTTTAAGTTTTAGTTAAACGCAAAATGACAATATAAATGCTTTATATTGTGGCACGAGGCCAGCCTCTACTAACGAGTCTAATAGACTCTGGTAGTCTAATAGACCCTGGTGTTTTGGAGAATGCATTTGCTTTGGTTATTTAAATTCTGGTTTATACTGTGTGCACCGACCTTGACATAATAAGTACTGTATCCATCTGAAACATTACAGTTCTATCTTATCTTATCTAGATTTGCAAAGCGCCTTTTCCTCGGCACTTTAGAGCAATTATAAAATTGTATACAAGATGACAATTATTTGAAATAAAAAATTGGGTTATTGAAAGTGGTGGTGTAGTTCGAGTGATGGTAGAACAGGAGAGAGTGAAACAAGAGGGCTTGGGATAGGCATGGCCGCATCTTGGGGTGGAGGCGGGGGGGGAGGCGACAGAAAGTTGGGGCGCGGGAAAGTAATGAGGCATTGCACTGGGAAGACAAAGGGGGTCGGGGCCAGGGATGGGAGCTGGGCCACTGCGAGTGGAGTAGGCCGCCACTAATAGGTGACAAAGCCTTTGCCGTTGCAGCACCAACGTTTTGGAACAACAACAACCTTGTTTCCCTCCCTTAACATCGTAAATCTTCCTTAAAAAATATCCCGAAGCAGAAGATTAGCGCTGAGATACAGCAGTCACATTTGCAATGCGATTTGTAACTTTGATCCTTACCCGTGTATCGATAGTTCAATGTTAATGTGGCATTTTATTGAGGGAGTACTGCTGTGCGGGGTTATCTTGGTGTGGTCTGGGACTAGATTTGAAGTTTTCGTGACTGCAGGGATCCATACTCTTTGGTTCTTTCGGTAAAGTCACATACGTATAAAATAAAACAAAATAAATTAAATTACATTTAATTAAATCACATTTAATTTATTTTGTTTTATTTTATACCTACGTGACTTTACCGAAAGAACCAAAGAGTATGGTCTGGGACTTTTTTTGTTGTTTTGCTGCCTTACCCAAGCTTGATAAATCGGACTGATAGGTTATGCATTTATACTTAGTGATTTGCTTAACTTTTCTCTATTTTGAACTCCTATTGTGTTTTTGTATTGTTTACTGTTGTAATTTGCTGACTTGCCCATAATGGACATCTGTTAAAGAGCTTCATACCTCATAGGATTCCTCCTGCAGTCTGAATAAAGATTATGATTCTGAATTAAAAATAGACATGTCAATGCTTAAAAATGCAACAGTTGCCTACTGGCAAAAACAAGATTTGTACATTTTTGGAAAAATATATTCCTGGGTCTTTCGGAAAAGTCACGTAGATAGGTTCAAATAAAATAACAAAAAAATAACAAAAAACGACGACGTTTCGATCACAACACAACAAAAAACTACGACGTTTCGATCGCAACACAAGCGGTCGTCTTCAGGAAGAACCTATCGACGTGGCTTTACCAGAAGACCCAAGAATATGAATTCCTGCAGCCACGAAAGCTTTAAGTCAAGATTTTGGAAGAATGTATGTGGAAATTAATCATTGCTTAAGGATCGGCTCATAATGCATACACATTAAAGAGACGCTCATTAAGTTCACATTTCCAAACCAAACATAGCGTGTTTGTTACGAAAATAAGACTTTTTAAAATAAAATTTCCCAAAGAGAAAATGCATACAGAAGGGAATGCAATCCATCTGCCAATCCATAATCATGACGGCTTTTTTGCCTTTACAATATTTAAAATTCTCTCCATTTACAAAAATATATATATTCTTTCTTTATCCGGTAGAACTTCACTGAGTCACCAGACTTTCAGGATGGTCCTCCATTTGGTTCTTTAGCAAATTCGTTTGTGGATTAATAAAGATGTTTTTCTTTTTCCCCCAAATGTATTCCAATCGCACGACTGGCATCTAGTTTGGCAGCCTATCCTCTAACCCCCTCCCTGCCACTACCACCGCCATGTGTTTTAGAAAATCTCGCAGAAAGAGATTTCATGAAACTACTTCTCACATCTGTTCAAAGCGCCCTTTTGTATCCGCACAATAGAAGGTGCATATTCCCTCCCGCACACCACGCGCACCGACCTTGAAACTTAAATGTTAATTCACGTGACGATAAAATGGCATTTTTTTTAGAGCTACAACTTTTGCAAATTAAGTAAAATCCTAAGATTAACGAGATGACATTTTGCGTGCAGTCGACGCTGACCAGGCTGCGTAGTCCATAACTCGCTACTCTTGAGAACCTGGACTAATCACAGGTGACTGCCCAGATTGAACCTCAAGGGGTCTCAGTGGTCGCGATTAAACGCTCTGCCTTGAGTCACAAAGCCACCCTTCCTTCTTACATATTCAGTGCATGCAAAGAAAGGTGGAGCCAACCAGAAAATATACGAACACGGGGGAATAGAACACAGCAGTACGGAACTGTACAGCATCTCGCAATTTGGCTACATTTATATGCAACCGCATTGCGAGATGCTGTACAGAGATAGTTGATACGTTGAAGTTTATAGAGAAAAACAGACAGATGGAAAAAGAAAAGAACGATCTTGAGGCTGGATTTCAATGGAGTCATTAGAAAGGATGACTCCTGAAAAGGAGTTCCAGATTATTGGGGTCAGCAGAGGAGAATGAGCAATATCCCACTGAGTGAAAGTTGACTGGGGGCTTTAGAGAAATGGTTGGTTGCTGGAGCAGAGAGTACATGGAAGGGAGTAGAGTAAGATGAGTGGGAAGAGGTAGGCAGGAACAAGTCCATGGGGGATATTGAATATGGTGAGAGGGATCATAAATTTGATCTGGGATTGAATTGGGAGCCAGCGAAACGACTGGAGCACTGGGGTGATGTGGTCTTTTTATATCCTCCCTGTGCCCTATCACGATTCTATTCTTGTTCGCTTCTGGCTCCCTTTGTTGTTGTTATTGTAATGTTCTGCTTGTTGTTGTAACAATCGGACCTCATGCCCTTACTGGACATCTGTGAAAAAGAGCTTCATAGTTTATCAGATTCCTTCAGTACAAATCAATATTCTGATACTGGAACAAGCTGCCCCTACACGTCAATCAGACTCACAGGCTATTTTTCATTCTTTCCTTAAACTCTCTACTTAATTTCCCTCCCTTACCCAAATGCCTCTTCCCCCTCCCTTACCCATCATTAACACCATCATCATCATCATCCCCTTTACAAACTTCCCGACCCATTCATCATCACTCGCTCATCATTAACCACTAATTGTCACTTTCATCATCGTTCATTTCACACACAATCATATTCATGCAACTACCCTCCTTCTCATCGACTCGTCTCATCTCATCACACACTTCTGCTCTACAAATAGCTGACTCTTTGTTCAGCGCCTTGGTTAAAGCATCATATAAGTTCAAAAATAAGATAGGATTTTCGATGCGAAAACACATGGTGCATTCATAACTCTAAATGGGGTGGAAAAGCGGACTGCACCTGCTTGAGGACTTCAATCAACACAAGGCAGAAGATGAAGTCGATCGCCAGCTCGCGTTTCTCCATCACGGGGTCCCGCTCTCGTGAAGGCTCTTCCCTGCAAACACGGTAACAAAGCAAGCACTGCAGGGCGCGCTCGGATGTCAACACGGGGCTTAGCGTGCTCAGACAAGTGGCACACCAGCCGTGCCTTTGATAATTAACTTGACGCAGAGGCACTCGGAGGCTCGCGTGTAAACACATACTGGCCTCTGCACAACACAAGCCAGGGCAAAGTTTGTCCGCATTCAGTCACGCAGACTGTGGGAGGGAGAGCCATCAGCGAGCACCTATTAAGGCCAAAATATGCACTTTTAAATCTAAATTAAAAACTCATTTCTATAGAACTGCTTTTCGTGTTTAGTTTGTTGTCCTTAACCCGCATCTCCGATTAGCATGGTTGGCTGCGCATGGTGCAAAACAAGTTCAGCATACATACATACACAGAACATCACACGAGAAGGTGGTGTGGCCAGAACTGTGCCTGGCCCCCTCTTTCTCTGCGGTACTAAGGTTGGTGGCCCAGGAGAGGCTTACGTCAAGTTCAGACATCAGTTGCTAATGGTCTTGTGCATGAATCAATACCAGTTTGTTGAGATTACAATGCGGTGCGAGCATCACAACCTCACGGTTTATACATACAGGCATGCAGGTGAATGTGAGTATTCTCACACGTACGCGTGTACACAGAAATACCTACTTGAATGCAGTATATAGTACTGTACGGCACTGAACAATATGAGGGCCTGTATAATGATAGATATGTAATAATTTCTCTAATTTTGTACAATTCAATGTCAGGTGAGACTGCAAACATTGGAATGATTGAGTTACTGTGTGTAAATGGAAATTATAAATATATTACCAATATACTGTAGAATATTGTTTGCATCGTATACACATGTACTATACAAACAACGCAATAATGCAACTTTTCACATCGAAGAATAAGATGCATCAACTGTTCCAATTTGAGCATTAATTAAATCAAATCAGGTCCATTCTCAAGAGAAGATAATCTGTGCTCATCTCTGTTGAGAGCTAAGCCAGAGGGTTGAAACATTCACATTCCCATGGCAGGGACCAGTTTGTCAACTTGAAAACCAACACGCTTGAAGGAATTGGCAAAATTTATTTTTAAAAATTATTCCGAAGACTATGCTGTGTGTGCCGCATGTAGTAAATGTCGCAAGAATTCTATATGAGCGGCATAAGAGCATCCCTGAGCTATTGATATTTTATGTCCAGTCGAGGCATTAGATGATGCAGTCGGGGGGGGGGGGGGGTTGCGAAGATAACTTTGACTTTCACCGTGTAAAGCATTGATTTTTCTGTCCTGAGACTTCTCAACCAAAACTGATGTGTGGAGGGGGGTGGGGGGTTAGCTGGAGGCATTCAGTTATCTCCCCTCACATTTGTATGTAGTTTAGTTGACCGCTCCACTGGATTTATGGCTCAACCACATTGCTCGCGCATCCACCAATGCAATCCTTGGCTGCCTCGTCTTCCCATTGCGGATGTTCATTGCTCGGTACATATTTGCATGCCAAGCTGACGTATTGCACGTAGCCTGGTATGCTGCACACCAAGCATGTGGCAATAACAGCCGCCATTCACTGTTAAGTGGTGAATGTGTCAGGCTAGGTGCGCACTTTGAAGCCAAGCCGAGTTAACATTGCCCAGCACGAGGTTATAAGAAACCGGGTGTTACAGATGTAGTGTCGTTGGTATGAGTACCGTTGTGTAGAGACAGTACCCTGTGGGTGGTACTGTAGGGGCGGAGCCTCTCCCCGGACACCGGATGGGCATACCAGGGGAGGCTGGGTAAATAGGAAGGGGCACGTGACGAGAGGTGGTGTGGACGGGGGTGTCAGGGTTGAGGAACACGTGAGGTTGGCTCTGAACCCTCACGAAGGATCGGGAAAAGAGGCGTGGCCAAAGGCGGGGCCTGGCCACGCCGTAAGGATAAAAGCCGAGCCCCGGGGGGGGATTGGGGTCGATGCTGCTGGAAGAAACCATCGTCGGCGGCGGGTCTTCGGGTCTCTGGGTGCCGCGCACGTGGACCAGGAGCGCGTTGGCTGACCCGGTCCGGTTTGTAGTTGCCCATCCAGAATGTAAATAGCTATATACACTTGGAGTAGATGGCTAAGTGTAGGAACGGTGGGTTACCACCTAATGTTGTTATTCCGTTAAGGGTTATGTGATGTTAGTTAATAAACCGTGTTGCCTCCAAGTTCTAGTGTGCGCCTGATTGGACCCACTACACAGGTTAAAACAGCTCGATTTTTTAAGTAAAGTCAAAGTGGACCACAAACGTAGGTTTTCGTGGGTGCACTGTATAAGCTCTCTCCCGACGTGTTTCTGGGTAGTAATTCGGGTCCTCCTCATTCAGGAACTGAATTCAGTTTGAGCTCGCAGCAAAAATTCAATTCAAAAATTCAATTCTGAAATTAAATTCGTGTCCTTCTTCGGGATATGAATTCAGCTGAAGCTCGCAGCAAAAATGCAATTCAATTAAAAAACTAAATTCAGAAATGCAATTCAGGCCCTTCTCCTTCAGGATCTGAATTCAGTTGAAGCTCGCAGCAAAAATTGTATTCAATTCAAAAATGCAATTCGGGTCCTCCTTCAGGAACTGAACACAGTTGAGACGTGCAGGAAAATTTTCATTAAAAAATGTAATTCGGGTCCTTCTCCTTCAGGAACTGAATTCAGTTGAAGCTTGCGGCAAAAAGAAGCTGCCGGCACACGGAGAGCGAAAACGTCAGACACCGTATGCCAAGACAATAAAGGGGATTTATAACCTAAAAAAAAAACGAAGCGCTCAAGTCAAAGTGTCTCCCTGCTCCATCAAGCAATGGCGTAAGCATTCATCTGCAATGGCGGACCCTGGCTCAGTGACCGAAACTCCACATTCTGATGGCTGGGGCCAGCAGTGTCTCCATGGGACAAGCAGTGTTGCCATTCCACATTGGGGGCACTTACTTTATCTGAACCTGGAAGGATTACAGATCGGGTCAACCCCCAACTAGGATTTGAACTTGGAACCTGTAAGACTCATATCCCAAAGGCACACACTGACACACACACAGACAATGTACTGATACACACACACACTGATGCACTGGCTTATGTATGTTGAACTTATTTCGCACCGTACGTAGCCAACCGTGATAACCGGAGGTGCGGGGGAAGGACAACAATCTAAACAAACAGACAAAACTATTCTAAAGGAATGGACTGTCCATAATCGAGGTGTTAAACTGAAATGAGCTGCACATGCTCCTCAGTTCTCAGGACTCACCCTTTGGATTTTGTGCTGGAGCGTGGCCGATAGCTGTGTGCGCCATCCTCGCACGCGATCTGCCGCCGGTACCAGTCGAAGAGCGTGCGCAGCAGGGAGGGCAGGCAGTACTCGGCCACTGCGCTCAGCGAGCTTATGAGCTGCCGTCAGTGACACAACAACAACGGTGACAAGCTGGTTAACACGTGCTTTCTGCATCATGCTACTTACTATCTGTAAAAGAATTCGGTGAATGAGAGCACTTGCCTTACCGAAGCAAACGGATTATTGATGAAACAATAAGAAACAATAAGAAAAGGTAATAAAACAGCAGGTGTTAAGATCTTCCAACACCAAATAGATAAAAACTTGATTTGAAGCTTTCGTGACTGCAGGAATTACTCTTTGGTTCTTTTGGTAAAGTCACGTAGAAAATTTAAAGTCACGTACAAACTTTACCGAAAGAACCAAAGAGTCATTCCTATAGTCACGAATGCTTCAAATCAAGTTTGAACCACCTCTACGGGGAGGATTTAAGTTTGTTTTCTCTCTCTCTGTGTGTCTGTTTGTCAAATTTCACACTTAACTTCTAATTTAGCAATCTCTGGAGAACGCAATCAACCAGGCTATGCGTTAACTGTGTGTTAACCGACTTTCTGTATTGCATTGCAATACATTTCCAAAAAATTGCTAAGTTTTTTTCTCAAACTGCCTATTTCTATCTATAAAATTTACCAGGCTCTCATATGTCCATTCGCTCTTTCTCTCCCCCAGCCGCTTTGGGTGGATTTCCACACAGCTCTATCATTGACATGCTAATTTCTCTGCTCCAGCAGACCCACCTCTCTCTCTGCCCCCTCTCTATTTAAGGCCTCGGCACACAGGCGTTGGGTCTCTGTTTGTCTATTTTGTGTCTCTCTCTGTGTGTCTGTGTTGTCTCTCTCTGTTTGTATGTCTGTCTGTGTGCCTCCGTGTCTGTGTTTTGTCTCTCTCTCAAATTTAGCAATCTTTGGAAGAACGTAATCAACCAGGCGAGGTGCTGACTTGTGTTGGCCGACTCTCTATGCTGTATTGCACGTAAGCCAAATACTGACCCCCAAAGCAGGGGCCTGAAACAAAATAACAAGAGCAGCAATTTTTCTTAGAATTCGGTAAAAAAAAAAACAACCCTCAATATATCAAGAGCCGTAATGCATGCGAATAACGTCTTGAAGGAATCTTTAAAGAGGCACATGCGGCTCCGGAGCCACAGGTTTCCCACCCCGTGCCCCGAGTGATGATGGAAGAACGTTATCCCCCCCCCCCCCCCCCCCGTTTGGGACGTGAACTCGCAATCATCAACTTGTGAGACAACCACTCTGGCCACGGAGTGCCACGTAGGCGGCCGGATTTGCATACGTTGCCGCCTCGTTTGCGGACGGCAATATTTCCACCGCGGTGCTTTGTGGAATGTGGTCAAGTAAACAGAGAGTGGAAATACTGTGTGGCAGGTTTGCTCAGTAGGCTAATGTCTGCGTTAGCATTGAACCAGCGCTGCTGAGATCCTGGTGTGAGTGCGGGACAGCCGCCCGTGATGAAAACGAGGCTCTGATGGAAAGTGAGTTCACGGGTCTCAGCCCAGTCACCAATGATTGCACAGACAAATACCACATCATACGCGAGTTTTGTTTTACTTTATTTGGTCTTGGCCAGCACCAAGGGCCCAGAAAAGCCTCACCAAGCCTACAAAGTCTATTTCAGGAGGTTTCTGACAAGTTTTTCGCAGTATGGCTGCGATGTTGCTGTTGCTTTGTTTAATCCCAAAGTTGCAGGTAATTGTTCAGGACTCAGATGTTCTGTCAAGACCAGTTCCATTGTTTTTTTGCTATGTAAGGAAACCGAAGTACCCGGAAGAAACCGATGCAGAATAGGGGGAGAGAAAACGTACATACTCAAGCGATGAAAAATGTGTAGAGACACAAAGACTGATTTCACAATTTTTTTTTCCCTTTCCTTTAATGCACATTCAAACTCTTCGTATGAAATTAGCACTCAGCCTGGGTTAATCCACTTGCCGGATGAAGGCCTGCCCAATCCGCCACAATCTCTCACAATCCTGAGAAAAAAGAATCCAACATGTGGCTGCACACAAAGCGGATTTCATCGCTCCACCTCCTGGGTGGATGTCCTCTCAGAAGTATTCTGTTCCTTGGTTGACACTCGGTAAAATATTCTTCACTATCTGCCATCATTTTTTTCCAGTACTGTTAAGATATCGGGGGGAAAACGTTTCGGAGCTCAGGATTTGTCGGTCCTTGGCCCTCAAAATTTGGAACGCTCTGCTTGAAGAACTGCACATAACTGGCGAGATTCTCCCAATTATAAATAAAATAAAGCCTACTTAATTGCCATGATATGTTAGATACATTTGAGATGTTTTTGTTTGTTTTTACCATCCGGCACTCTGAGGCCCTTTTGTGGGGGTCTGCTGCACCTTATAAAAATATGTTTTTGTTAATCTCAGCAAAGCTTTGCTGAGACACAACCTCACTCACTGCGGTGGAACACCAGGAGGACTCGTTTCAGAGCAATACCTGTCATCTTTATCTGGCATCGAAGCCCTATTTTGACATGACACTGACTCTTCAGACGGTAGCACGCACCAAAAATTCCTGTGGGTGCACCAAGCTGTGTTTTGTTTTAGCGCGTCCAAAGGTCTCAAGGTTTATTCAACAGGACATGTTTTTCATGCGAGTGTTGAAACACCGCATTCATTGTTGAACATATCCTGTTATTTAGTTTTGCAATTTGGAACCAAACATGACTGAACACTACCTACTGTAACGTGCTAGCAAGCAAAATAATAGGATGCATATGTATTGTACATTTAACAGAGCGAGATAGAATAAGAAAACTGCCCATTTTCAAGCGTCGCTGCATTTGTACATGAATACAAATACAAGAGGTGTTCCCAGGTAAAAGATAAGGTGCCTAAGCCTACTGACATCAACTTTATTGAGGACGATATTGGCACGCAAAATTAAAATTGATTTATCGATTGAAGCTTCTGCCAGCAGAAGAGCCTCCACTAGACGGAGCTACAGGGAACCCCACATGAGGGTATTTGGCCTCCTCTTCCACGTTGGCCAGACGTCTTGGAAGAGGTGGACAACATACCCACACTTTACCCCACCTCACGCGACCTGCCGATTGATGGACTGCGGTACACCCATTCATACTGGCGGAGGACAGAGGTGGCGGGACTCAAGAAAGTCGCCCCATTGTTTCAACGGCTGGGACGGGAGATTGAATCGAACCGGTGACCTAAGGATCGCAAGCCCGGTATCCGAACCAATGCACCACCTACATCATCACTCAAGTGTTGAAATGTGACTTCAAATGTTGCCGAATGGTGACCACTGACAAATGATAGACTGACTGCCTGAACAAAATATGTTCACCTTATTCACTTGTCAATGAAGTTGTAGGGACATTCGAACATCTGTATTGGTCACGTTAATTACATACTCTTTGGTTCTTTCGGTAAAGTCACGTAGGTAGAAAATAAAATAAAACAAAAAATTATATATAATATATCACGACGTTTCGATCGCAACATAAGCGGTCGTCCTCCTAGACGTGACATTAACTTACTAATCCCCCTAATCTCCCTGCCTAATCTCTCCCATCAACATAGTGCTAATCTCCCATTAACACTTCTGTTGTGCGCATATGCAAGGATGATACTCTTATGCTGCGACGGAAGCTCATTTCATGCTAATCTCTCTCCCTAATCTCTTTACCTAATCTCCCCCATTAACACGACTGACGTGCTTGCGTCCGGGGATGGAATTCCTTTCCAGCTCAGACCCCGCTTGCTTGCCCATCATAACAGCTCTCTCGCTGTTTCAGCAGTTCCACTGCTGGATAATTTTTTTTCCGACTGAGTTGTGGCTGCGGCAGCAGTTACATTGGGGAAACGAAACGACATGTCTCGGACCGCGTTCGCGAACACAAGGCAGATCTGAAATACGGTAGGACCAATACCTCTGCCGTTGCTGATCATTGTTCTAACGCAGTGGGCTCACACGAAATTGACTTTTCCAAGACGAAGGTACTCTGCAAACCCACCGGCTATTATCAGAGATTTGTTCATGAAGCCATTCAGATATATAAACACAAACACAACTTCAACCGAGAAGATGGGTACAAACTGAGCAATCATTGGAAGGACGTTATTAACTGACTGTGATGTTTCCATCCTACCTGCCTATATCAGCTGTTATTTCCGACTCTCTGTGTGTCTTTCTCTCTCTCTCTGTGCATCTCTCTCTGATCTCTACTCCAATAACCCGGGTGCTGCTGCGGGGTCCACTTTCTGCCCCGCCTCCTCCTCCCCCTGTCTCTCCCCCCTGCAGCCGATCTCTCAGATCTCTCCAAGTGCTGCCGCAGGGTCTACTTTCTGCCCTGCCCCCTCTCTCCCCCTACCTCCTCTCTCCCCCCCTACTGCCGAGGCCTATATAACCTCGTGCCACGGCAGATCTCTCACCTACTTCAGCAATTTTTTCTTGCTGTGGTTGTCCCACCTGATGACGATTGCTTGTGTTGCAAACAAAACGTCGTGATCTATTATTTTTCTACCTACGTGACTTTACCGAAAGAACCAAAGAGTATGGATTCCTGCAGTCACGAAAGCTTCCAATCAAAATAGTATTTATGTTTTGTTATTTGCCCTTCCACAGTCATCATCTTGGCAAGATGGGCAGTTTGTTTTTTGCTTTAATTTGATAGACACCAAATGAGGAATGACTGCATGTCTGAGCGTCAAAACAATGAGTAATCTTGAAGCTCAATTATGCCCTGCACTTTGAGCCAGTGTTTTCAATAAGCCACAGTCTTTTTTATTTATAATTAAAATGTGATGTCACTCTTACGTAAAGGTCTAGCAATCTGGCAGATGAATAACCCTACAAAATGAAATCTCCCATAAGCATCGTACTACATTGTGGGCATAATTAACACATCAGTCTTGCTGTCCTTGAGGCTAAACTTGGGACTTTGTGTGTGAACTTTATCTTTTCTCATCCATCTCAAACCTGGCATTGGCTTTGTGAGTCCTGATAGCACCGTGTGTGTGTCTGGCTCTCTGACTGCGATCATTGAAATTCATGCCACCGGAAAC